TTATCAAAAATGAATTGCTGGTAATATTTTCCCGAAAAAACGTATTGTTGATATGTCTACAATAAAGATCTACTTTTACACTTTCAAAGAGTTTTGACCTCTCTTTAGGTGTTAAGTATTTTCCCATAACTCGAATCCTAACAGGTGCTACCACCCAAGCTCATGGTGGACTTTGGAACAACATCAAGACGGGTTTCTACGCACCTCAAAATATCACGGTCAGAGGCCTTGCTGCGGAATGTAGTTTATCATCATACCCAGGACGCCTCATTGGGGGGGAGTGAAATTACCCCTCGGCAGAGGTGCAATCGGTGCATTCTGATGCCCCAGCCAACAGGCCGGTATAAAATTACGTCTCAAGGAATTTCCCCAGTGAAAATTAAATTGCCATTAGGAAAAGCATTAAAAGAAAAAAAAAAAGAAAAAAAAAGAAATAAAACGCGTACGAAAACGGAAGATAAAATATATCTGTTTCAATGAGTTGACGGCATATAATGGACATGCACGTATAATTAAATCAGTTTAAAAGTAAATCATTACAAGTAACCAAATAGATATTCGACCTACATTGGAAACGTTTTGATCGTAAAATCGAAAATCAACCTTTTGTAGCGGCCAATAGATAAGAAAATTAGTTTGGATTAAGGAAAAGTCACGTACGTATTTTGGTGTGCGTGTATCTCTCTCTCTCTCTCTCTATATATATATATATATCTATCTATCTATCTATCTATCTATATATATATATATATATATATATATATATATATATATATATGTATATATAATAGATAGGATTGCCTATTGTACAGCTTATAATCCTCCCCTTTTCAACAGGAGTAGAGGCTTATCCATTGTTTCCTTATTGGGATTGGATTTCTGGTTCCTTTCAAAGTTCTTTTCATTCCCTTTCATTTTCGTCATTGGTGATATATATATATATATATATATATATATATTAAGAAATATAGATTTAAGGTGTGCTATATTTATGGGATAAAGTACTCAATATCAGAGATAGAGCGTGTGTAAATATAAAAGTGAACATAGACGTCAACACTTAGAGGCGACAGTCTGTTTCATGCTAGACGCAATCTTCAGGCTACAATATTTTTATTTCTTTTTCGTTATATATATATATATATATACATATATATATATATATGTCATTTTGTTTAATTTGATATATCTACCTATCTATCTATATATCTTTTCCATTTTTATCTATCTAGCAAGCTATCTATGCCATTTTATCTATCTATCTATCTATCTATCTATCTATCTATCTATCTATCTATCTATCTATCTATCTATCTAACAGAACCAAAGATTCCGAGTTTCATAAACGAATCACATATACCACACACATACATTGAATTTGCCCTTATCTTATGCTGTACAATCTCATTTTCCTGGTCTCTTAGGCAAATCCCGCTAAATACACTCACACACACACACACACACACACACACACACACACACACACACACACACACATATATATATATATATATATATATATAATGGGGGTACGTATGTGTGCATGTGAGTGTGGTATGTTTGTCGTCTCTGGTGACTTCCTGTTTTTCTGAATAGAGCGATGATACCTTTTTTCTATGCCAAAGTTTGCCTGACGCCAACAGACTGTCTCTTCTGTCGCGCCTGCGTGATGAATGCTTCTAATGAAAATGCTAAGTGAAATCAGATAGAAAACGAAAATACCTGGCGAAAGGGTAGCTCGATACGAGAACGAAACAATAAAAGGTATGTAAAGAGGTCGAAAGAGAGAATGAATAGAAAGTAGAAAGACTATAACAAACAGGATAAACGGAACTGGTTTTTATTGGAAGAATAACGGGTTAAAGGCAAGATGATAAAAGAAACGAACGAAAAAGGAATCAAAATTCTGATGGTAAAGATAATATTAGCCGTTTCCTTATAAGGCAACATTCAGTAATCAGTGACCGAACAGATCTATCTATCTATCTATCTATCTATCTATCTATCTATCTATCTATCTATCCCAGTCTGTTCAATCTATCTATCTATCTATCTATCTATCTATCTATCTATCTATCTCAATCTATCTATCTATCTATCTATCTATCTATCTATCTTCATCTATTATCCCAGTTTGTTCAATCTATCTATCTATCTATCTATCTATCTATCTATCTATCTATCTATCTATCTATCTATCTCAGTCTGTTCAATCTATAAAATCTGTTCATATCTATCTATCTATCTATCTATCTATCTATCTATCTATCTATCAAACAATTCTTCAAGAAAAATAGATTTTACAAGCCCAGTAGCTGTTATCGCTTTTTATACTATTGACGTTGACATCCTTTCTAAACTATTGCTTGAAATAATTTTGAATATTAACATCATGATTATGTCATTATTTTCTCTTTGAGTTACATGTCGGACCCACGTTAGTTGTCGCTTTTGTTGAAAGTCTTCAAGTAATGTGGTTTCTGTTATTTGGTACAGTTCTTTGTGAATATGTAGCGCCAATTCGCAATGTTTGAAGAATGGTCTTTGCCCAGACCCACAGTCTTCACTCGATCAAAATCCTTTTCAACAAATGAAAGCAGTTGTATAGAGCCAACAGTTTAAATATTTCTAAGCGCGTTTTTTTTCGCCATGCATGGCATCCTGACGAAGGTGTTGATCTGATGAGGGTATTTAAGAACATGACTCGAGTTCTAAAGTTTTGGTTTTGTAACAACAAAAGCAGAAACGAATGAAGTAAAAAGAAACAGAGTTGAAAACGAAATAATTGCGGACAGGAAGTGTTGAGCGAAAATACTTTTAGAGAACCTATGTTTATTTTCCTTATCTCCGCTACTAAATTTGTTGTAACTGATTCATGCAACGAGTTATTTGATGTGATTTTTTATTTACTAATTCCAGATTCTGAATTTTTTATGATGGATGCAGTGTTTCTCACTACTTTCATTCAAATTGCAGATCATAGTTTCTTTTTTGAGGCCTGTGTACGCGGGTTAAAACTTCTACACGGAATTTCTTTATGGCAAAAGACAAAAGAAATAAAAAGAAAAGGAAATAGAAACAAATAAATAAATAAAAATGAAAAGTAATAGCTCCCTCTTCCAAAGAGTACTCCCCCATGAGGATCGAACGGTCAGTCCATGCGTGATAAACGTTTAGGCGATCATGTATCTTTCGATACATGACTGACGAGGCATACTTTTTTCCCGCAGTAGGTTGCTATTTCTTTTTGCAGTAGACCAGTAGCCATCCAAGGCTATAGAACCCGGTCTGTTCAGTTATTTACCAATAGCTTGTGTGAGAAGTGTATTAGTACGTAAGTGAATGTAATGGATCATGTATCTTTCGATATATGACTGACGAGGCAGATTTTGTCCCGTAGTAGGTTACCATTTCTTTCTACGGTAGACCAGTTTTCATTCTTTCTGCGGTAGACCAGTTGCCATCCAAGGCTATAGAACCCGGTTTGTCCTGCTATTTATCCATAGCTGGGGGGAGAAGTAGAGGATTCATACCTTGGGAAAGTTATGAATCCTGGATTCATATGTAATGGATTCAATTGGAATTCGAACTCGGCTCTCCGATTCCTCAATCGTAGCTATCCATTACTCCACCGGGCCTCCACTTATGGAAAGAATTATACACTTGACGTTAGGAATATTATTATTGATCATTATTTACATTCGTACAATTGCCCCCATCTTTATTGCTATTATGACAACTTTTCAGCCGTTGCGCCCTCAGGCCTTCATCAGGTGTTTGTCGATTTGAGTAACTTTCAGGTTATTTTGAAGCGTTTGTCACTCCAGGAGTCCCGTAACCCATAGCGTCGTAGGCGAATGACATCTACAGAAACCATTGCAGCAATGGTGTATGTTGGGTAGCGATCCGTCTTCAAGATGGATTTCAAATCAGAGATTTCATTCTCCTAGACCGGTTGTCACCTAAAAACAGCCGAGTCAGCCTTGCTATTTAAACTATAGCTGTTAGAGGGGAGAAGAGATGAAGTCACCTCAGAAAATGTTTTTTTTTTCTTCAAAAGTGTGTGTAAAAAACTCGGTCAGAATTCGAACTCGATTCGCCAGTTTCTTTTTCCAGATCGCTAGACGTTACATTACTCGAAAATAGTTACAGATTTTTAACAGGCGCAAAATGATTTGTGATGTTTGGAAGAGTAGCAACGAACCACGGATGTTCAAATAGAGAAAAAACGTGAAGAAAATGTAAAATACAAAGGGAAAAAGAAGTATTCATTGATTGATTCATTTTCTACGGCCTATCAACCCTTTGCAGGTTATTTAAAGCCAGAAAATATATTTGGAGATAATAATGATTTATTGATACAAGTCTTACTAATTAACCCATAGCTAGAGGGGAAGAAATGGATTCCTACCTTTCCCAGGGGTATCTGCACGTAAATAGATATAAAGAACCCTACTTGAATTGGAACTTGGCTCTGCGATTAACAATTGCGAGCCATTATCCATTAGGCTTCTCGGACATAAAAGATTACAGCACTTAAAATTCCCAAGCGGTCACCCATCTGGGTACTGACCAGGCTCGATTATGCTTACGGTACATATTGTTTTGAGACTATATGGCCGTGATCCCAATAAGAATAAAAGAACGTGGAATAAACAAAATATGAGGAAAAATATTACAACTAAATTTACAACAATGATAAGGAGCAAACAAAGAACTGTGAGACGAAAGGGGGAAAAAGAACCAGTTGTCACACTTATGGATTCGCTTATCGCCCGGTTCACACTCCTTCCCTGTCTTTTGCGTTTTCGGTTCCTTCTCCTAAAGTCTTCCTATTCTCTTTTATTTCCAGGAAGCCCTTGTGTCTTAGTAGCATTATCGCCTTGCTTGAGGTGAAATGAATAAAAAGAAAAAGAAACAGTTCGAGTGCTCCTCAGACTGCTGAGTGTTTCATTATCTGTAGCTATAAACATTGCGGTGTATCCCATAAAGGTAACCAT